TGGTTTTCAGCTTTTGAGATTTCAGAATTGCAGAGAAAAAAATATACACTGGTTGCTTGAAAACTAGCTGCCCCTTTCTAACTGCTGCCTACATTTGGGTGATTATCTTCCCCCTGAAACTCTACTGATTGGTGCCCATTCTTCCAATAACACCCTTATCCAGTCCACCTTCCATCTTCCTGCAAGAATTATTGTCCTGAAACCCCAGGCTAAGGTACCACTCTGCACAGCGTAAGGGCCTATATAAGATAGTTCAGCCTATCTCTTATGATCCCTTTTCTCAACCACTCTAGAATGCATACTGTTTCAGCCCCAGATACACTTTGCATATATCTCTGTAAGTGTGAACACTTTATGCCCATAGCCAGCTTTCCTCTTTGCCTAAAAGCCTCCTACCTTCACACAGAGCTCAGGATCTGCAGTCTTCATGGCCCATTTTAAATGCCACCTTTTCTGTGATTTCTTTGGATTTCCATGAGCTTTGTTCTTTTCTTTTTTGTTTTATAATCCATTGATTTTATGCACTTCTTTTTACTACTTCTCAAGATATATGAATTACCCTTCCTTGTCTGCCCCCTACTATAGGAGTTATCGAATGAATGCTGAGGCCCAAACTTTTTTTTTTTTTGAGACAGGGTCTTGTTCTGTCACCCAGACTGGAGTACAGTGGCATAATCACAGCTCACTGCAGCCTTGGCCTCCTAGGTTTAAGCAATCCTCCCCACTCAGCCACCTGAGTAGCAGGGACTACAGGCAGGCACAACTACATCCAGCTAATTCGTTTTTTATTTTTTTGTAGAGATAAGGTCTCACTTTGTTGCCCAGGCTGGTCTCAAATTCCTAAACTCAAGTGATCTTCCCACCTTAGCCTCCCAAAGTGCTGGGATTACAGGTGTGAGCCACCATGCTGGCTCCAAGCTTCATTCTTAAGTACAGAAAAATGTCAAAAGAAAAGCTAAGCCCTGTACCCCCATAATGCCTTAATGCAGAAGAGAGCTTCAAGCCGAGACTTCTGGGAAGTATTTGATTTGTAAAAATGGTGAAGAAAATGGAAACAGGTACAGCCCAGGTGACACCACATGTGCCAGGATGAGCAGGTCCTGTGCAAATAGATACAGAAAAATCTAAGATCTGTTAGCATGGAGTGTAGGGTTTATGAAGAGTCTAAAATATGGATGCCACAAGGCCATATTACCCAATGAGCCAAAGGTATGAGACACAGCACTCTCAAAGGTCTGTAGGGTCAAGGCCATTCAGTGGAAGCCCAGGACTCATTAGTAATTGAAAGAAAAAAATGGACAGCTTATAACTTCCACCTGCTCTCTGAGAAAGAGAGGACCAGGGACATTCCCGTTTTTTAGGTAATTTTCATAGGTTTATGTTTCTCCTCACTGTTATTCTAGTTTTAAATTCTGATAGTTTAGGCCAGGCGCGGTGGTTCACACCTGTAATCCCAGCACTTTGGAAGGCTGAGGCGGGCGGATCAGGAGGTCAGGAGATGGAGACCATCCTGAGTTACACGGTGAAACCCCATCTCTACTAAAAATACAAAAAATCAGCCAGGTGTGGTGGCGGGCGCCTGTAGTCCCAGCTGCTCGGGAGGCTGAGGCAGGAGAATGGTGTGAACCTGGGAGGTGGAGCTTACAGTGAGCTGAGATAGTGCCACTGCACTCCAGCCT